CCGCAATGCAAGGCCCAACTCAGATCCCAGATCAGATAACAGAGACCCCAAGAGTGAGCGAATTTGTGCAGGAAGCAGGGCAGCCAGTACTGGGAGGGGGTCTGTAGGTACAGAGCCTAGAGGCTTTGGCCACCATTGGCCACCAGGTGTCACTGCCACCTTGAGAACAATCTCCCTAAAACACTTCAGAGTCCACGTGCAGACAGAGGGTCAGTTGCCCCTGCTGACTCTCAGGGCAGCCCCAAAGCTGGCAGTCCAGCCAGGCTGAGGCCAAGCTCTCATTAGCCAAATCACGCTTTGTCACTCACCTCCCTACACTCAGTGACACAGCCGATGTCTTTTATGCCCTGACCTTATTCCTTTGAACTGCGCACAGGAGCTAGCTTGGGCCCACTCCCATGTCTTTGCTCTTTGTTTTCTACAATAATCCATCCCTGGCTGGGGGGTGGCTGGGAAGAGGTAAGCTGTGCCCCTTACTCTCCTATTTCCCACATTCCCCTGACCCCCACCAGCTGCTTTAGGCATTCCTAGAATCAAAGAAATGAAAGCGCTAATGGTGGAGCTAAGGGCAAGGATTGAGAGAAAGAAAGAGAGAAGGTGGATAAGTGGCTAGTCACAAGTCTGCCCTGGTCCTGGGTTAGAATTCTGGGCAAGAAGCAGCTCCTAGGTCTCGTGACTCAGACCAGAAGCTCTGTCAGCTGAGCTTCCATGGCCACAGAAGAAAGAGGCCAGCAAGAGGGGCTTGACTGTGAGGAGCGGCATGTGACCCAGTGGCACCTAAGGGCTCAGCTGGCCACACAGTCTGCCTGGGACCCCGGGAACGTTCCTTGGTTCACGTCCCTTCCAGCTGCATACTACCAAGGTCACCGACAGGATCCTGACATCAACTGCAGTGGGCTGCCAGGGCTATTAAAGATGCTTACTCCAAATGGGGACCTTCAGCAGACACAGATGACACAGGTGTACCAAGGGGAGGGCGGTGGAGGTGGTTGGCCTAGGTGGGAGGAATACTTTATCACTGTCATTTGTATAAAATCACTATCACACGATGGTAATAAAAAGCAGGAGGACTCAGTTTTGTCATTTGTTTAAATTTCCTACAGACAATTGGCTGCATGTGGGCAAACCATGCTTGCCACCCCAGCCTACCTTGGTACACCCTTGATGTATTAAATGGCTACTAGATACTTTGCTAGGCCCTAGAGATAAAGCAGTGAACAATCCCTACTCTCGAGGAGCTCATATTCTAACGGAAGAGACAACGAAATAGACAAGAATAATCTTAGCTGGTAGCGCTATGCAGACAATTAAAGATGGGAGTGAGTAGGTGGCAGCTTTGCATTGGATGGTTGAGGAAATATCAGTTCTACTGTCACGAAAGGGCCAGCCATGCAAAACTAAGGGGGACAACCATTTCAGAGAAAAGACACAGCTAACACAAAGGCCGTTTGCAGAGTGGCTGGTCATAGTTAGCAACAGCTAGGATGGTTAAGGGCAAATAGACAGTTGGAGCATACACCAATTGCTTGGGGAAAACTGGGTGTTGGGGGGCAGGTTGAAGGGAAAAAAACTACGGTTCTGCTCGGGCTGTGTTATATTTAGGATGTTGTTAAGATATGCAAGTACCACTGTCCACCAGGAGTTAGGAATGTGAATCTAGAGGGCCAAGGGGTGGTCAGGGCAGGAGGTAGATAGGGGCTGGCCAAACCCACCAAGGAATGTACGTCAACCAAGTTCTGGGATTTGGCAAACGTGGAGGAGTCAGCAAAGGAGGCTACGAAGGAGAAGCCAACAAGGTAGAATGAAATCCAAGCAAGGTTCGGACCACAGAGGCCTAGAAAAGACAGTGTCTCAGGAAGGAGAGAGTAGTCAGCGCATCAAATGTTGCTGAAAAGTCTGCAAGGTAAGAACAAAAGTCACTGCTGGACTCGGTGACCTGGAGGGGAATTTGGGAAGAGCAATTTCAGTGGGATGAAGGGGTGGAATGCTGGCTGAAGGGGGTAGGAGAGAAAATATGGTGTGAGGAAGGGGAGATGGTGGCTGAAATAGCTCAAAATGATTTACTAGGAAGGGGAGCAGAGACATGGGCAGCAGCTAGAAGGGAATATGGGTGGATGGAGGTTTTTGTTTTTTATTTTATTTTATTTGTAATGGGAGGTGTTTGTATGTGGGTGTGATAATCTTTTGGAAAAGGAGAAATTGATTATGGATAAGAGAGGGGACATTTGAAAGCAATGATCACAAGTAGAGGGTGAGCCTTAGGAGCAGAACCATGTCGGGGAAGACGCCTCCTCAACCATACTCAATGGAAATGTGCTGTCAGGTGGGAGAAACAGGGGTGGAAATATGACCAGTACAGTTATGGCTTTGAGCCTAAGTTGCAGCATTTTGCCAAGTGTGACAGACTCTTGGGTGTCTTCTGTCTCCTGGGTGGCCTGGGGTCAAGGCACATGGCTCAGTAGGAAGCTCACAGAGGCGACCTTACCAGAAGATGCCTTTGACAAATGGTGAGGACCTCTGTGAATTCACTCATGATTTCAATTTAGAATATAAACAACCTCTGGGCAGGAGCTATATCTCACTTGTCACTGAAGTCCTAAGGCTAGTAACTAATTTTAAGCACACACCCTGGGCTAGGCCTGCATTAGTCAATGGAAACACAGATGGATAAGGCATGATCCTTGCCCACAAGGGACTGAAAGTATTTGAGAAACAGTTGCTGTATTAACTCAGTCATGTGTGTGGTAAAGAATTTGGCCTTGCCCTAAGAGAGGACTGGCCTTTGTCCCTGGCTCCTGAGAAGTAACTTCTAAACTCCTGGAGCTTCAGAAGTGATAGAGATGTCTTTGTCAATCCTGGTGGCCACCTCAGGCCACAAGGCATTAGCCTGACCTCCAGGGAGGGGCAGCCAGAGAATGAGTCTAACCAGGTGATCACTCAATCAGTCATGCCTGCATCATGGAGCCCCAATAAAAACTATGAACACTGTGGCTCAGGAGAGTTTCCATGGTTGTCAATACGCTATGTGTATTGTCACATATCCATGCTGGGAGGGGAGTGTGTCCTCCATACACTCGATGCTTTGTGTTTGTGACTGTCCCAGATTCTGCTCTATGCATCTTCTTTTGGCTTAGTTTTGACTTGCATCCTTTTCCCACAATACACTATAACTGTAATAGCTTTCAGTGAGTTCTGTGAGTTCTTCCAGAGAACTGCTAAGCCTAAGAGTGGTTTGGGGAACTTCCTGAACTACCAGTTGATATCAGAAGTGAGGGCAGTCTTTTGGAGGACTGTGCCCTCAGACTTTGCAGTCTGGCTAAATCCAGGAATTATGAAATCTTAGCATTGAAAGGGATTTAGAAATCATCTAACTCAACTCCATTTTATAGATGAGAAACAGAAGTCTAGGGATGGGAAGCAGGTTGCCCAAGCTCACATAATGTTATGGCATAACGAGAACTAGCCCCGGAGTGTTCTGACTTTAGCATGGTGTGTTTCAGTGATATCCTGAGGCAGCTTTGAATGTGAGGCTGAGCAGAGAAAATTTTATTCTTGAGTTAGACTGACTTTGCTACAGGGATTTTGCAGGACAGGAGTTCCTATGTTTAGGGGAGCTTATTCCTTAGTATGTTTCCTGCCTATAGATTTTTCTTACAAAACGTTTAAGCTGAAATATTTAATGTTTATAAAATGAGAGGCTTGTACTAAAGACACGCTAATGCTTTCTGTGGGGCAGAAACATTTTTTTCTGAATTATCTCTTTGCTTCTGAACTTTTATACTTTAGAGATCATTCTTGTATAATCTAGATTGTGTTGCTAGAAGGGATCTTGGCATTTCTTTTTGTTCAACCCTTAATTTTATGGACAAAGATGCTGAGGCACAGAGATGAGAAGAAACCTACCCAAGGCACCTGGGGAGTCAGTGGCAGGGACAGACGAAGCTCAGGTCTCTTGACTCTCAGCATAGCGTTCATTCTAGTTCAGAATGACTTCCCTTGGAGAAGGCCACGAGAGAGTTGTACACATTCATAAGAGTACTTGAGGGCCTCTCACAGAATCCCAGAGTAGCCCATTTTGTCCAAGCAGTATCAGGTTCTCTTGCCCCATCATAAATTCTTTGAGATGCTACTAGATGTTTTCTATATTTCTCAGAGTTAAAGGGAGAAAGGATACTACTTGTTACGCTTCCTCTAGAGCAGGGACAAGCAATAATCTGATTGGCAAACTGTCTCTCACTATCCACTGAGAGATGGTAGGGACTAAAGGGAAGGACTAGGACCCAGCTATATTGATTCTATCACATTTATAAAATCATAAAATATAACCATAGGCCTCATTTTTTTATTCATAAAAATCTTATTGTCACCTCTGGTTAAGTACAATATTTAAATAATGGGTTTGTATCTCTACCAAGCAACTAAGCTTGGTTCTCCTAATTACCCTACTATGATGCTCTAGCAACTAACATTCCTAAGGTACAAGAATGGATTCTTATACTTGGTCAGAAGTCAGACAGCATGAATCATCTAAGGAAGGTGTGAAACACTCATCAGAGCTACTGTATGATACCACCCACCACACAGGGCTACTCTCAACTCAGACAACCAAAAAGAGTCAGGGCCGACATTTATCAGCCCAGAAGGTCCCATGTACCCAGCATCAGTGAAGATGGAAGCATTCTACTCGAAGGAATTTTTTTGAGCATAAAAGGTATTTAGATATCATCTCATAGGTGGGGAAACTGAGATCCAGGGACTTACCACTTGTCACACTGTTTTATTTTGATCAATTATTGGAGAAATATTTCTTATGCATTGTTTCTAGATTTCTTATACAGAATATGGAATACTGCCTAAGATGAAACCCTTTCTGGATGATTCAGGTTCATTATTATGCATATCAATAAATCCGTGCTATGGTTCTGTGATATTCGAATGATGAGAAGAATGTAGTAGGATAATTTGCTTCTATCCTAAATCATCCAGACTGCCTTATACTGTTTTTTTTTTTTCCCCTCTGCCCATCTAGTGTAAGGCTATCTGCATTTTCTTTTTTCTTACTGAAGAATTTCTAGAATCCAATTAGGCTGTTTACTTCATTTTATTCTCATTAGCAACCCTGTGAGAGAGGCACTATGGTTATCTCGATAGTACCTACCTCACAGGTACTGGTCACGAAGCCAACGGATGGAGGGTCTAGGATTCAGACTTGGGTAGTTCTCACATCAAGGCCCACACTCTGAATCCCTATTCTGCTCTACCTCCCTAATTGTTTGAAGTTGGATTTTGAAGGAAAGATTTCTGAGAAAATTCCCATTTACAAATAATAAAACTTGAGCCCAAGAAAGGCTATTAACTTCCCCTAGAGCTACACAGCTGTTTAGAGAAGAACTAAACCAGGACTCAATTCTTTGATTCATTGTCCCAAGTTCTTGCCAACTCATTATACAGAAGTTCAGTGGAGAGAAGAGTTTGGGGATATCTTTGAAAAACGAGATTCCTCTTTAGTGGGACTAAAGACCCTCAGGCCCAGGGTCCTGCCTGTCCTGGGCTCGTTCTAGAGCCACAGGGCCTCATGTTCCACAGAAATCTCCGTGTGGGTTTCCTGCTAGACCCGCAACTGGGACGCCGCTGGCATGAGCATGCCTGGCGCTGGTTGTGTACCACAGCCACCTGCTAGACCCGCAACTGGGACGCCGCTGGCATGAGTATGCCTGGCGCTGGTTGTGTGCCACAGCCACTTGAAGAAAGCCGCTCCTCTCTCTTAGGAAGGAAAATCAATTCCTAGTTTGTGTTTGCATTGTCACTCCCTCCCAGAATGAGGGACCTGACTCTCCCCTATTTCCAGCCTGGCATATTTCTCAGAAACACCCTTCTTTCTTTCCAAATGCAGCAGACCCCCTCACAGTGAACAGCTAGTGAGTGATCTGACGCTTCCTCCAAGACGTCCTAGTTAAAAATGGGAGTATCCTGAATCCCAGGGGAAGTTGGCTGTGGCTCCCTGGAGACTTCAGGTTCAGAGGGGAGAGTGCCAGTGGTCCCCCTCTGCACAGCTCTGGCACTGATATCACAGATTGCTGATGAGAAGGCCCCTCTAAGTGGGGGTGGGGGAATCAGGCCTCCAGAGGCGAGGGAGGACTCCTCAGATCCCACGGAGGCCTGTGGGCATCTGACCTCTACTCCATCCTAGAGAAACCAATGTCTAGAGTGGTATGCTGAGGGGTGGTTCTCGGCTCTGCTATGTCTCTTCTCACTGCTTACCTGTGGCTGCTGGGTGGTTAAGGGTCTCTGAGGAGACAGGGCAGGAGTCCTGGACAGCAGCTGGTTCATCTTGGTGATGACTAGTTCGGTGATGAGTTGCCTGTCCTCCACCTGGTGCTCCCCAATCAGCGGCATGCTACAGTCCATGACCTGGTGGAAGATGTGTCCCAGGTGAGGAGAGAGGTCTGGAAACATACAAGGCCTGGTACAGTCTTTCAGAATGGGTAGGATTCAAGCCAGCAGAGATAGGTTAGAGATGAAATAGGCGTTCTTGTTTTCAGCTGGAAGCATGTTCATTTGCAGAAATAGGACCTCTATCCCCCATGCAAACCTCTGCCTTGGGCCCTTCCCCCTAACCTTCACGAAGGCCAGGACTCAGTGGGACTGGAAGACTGCTGGCTGCAGCAATAGTAGGAAGAGGTAGAGAGCAAGGATGGGGTAGAGACCCGGGGCTCAGAAATTTTCATGCAGGGGAGCAGGTAGATGTGAAGGGCATTCCTTTAAGGTTCGGGTTAGTTTTCATCTCTGTGACTTTTCACCCACACAATCCCAGTCTCCAAACATGCTCTGCTCATTAAATGACCAGATTCCTGCCTTTGTTCCTAACCTGGGATCCCATCTCTTTTGGCCAACAATCCTGATTCTTCCTGTATCTCAAGGTTTGAATCAATGTTTTCCTCCTTTAGGAGGTGTCTGTCTTACTAGGCATAGATCACAGACTCTGCAACCCAACTCTCTCATTTGTGGACGAGAAAACTGAGGCCCACCCAGAGAGGGGAGGTCTGGCCACCCAGAGGGTTACATGCCAAGCAGGACAGGGGGTAGATTCTGAAACTGAAGCCCACTTTGGGCTCTTGATACCGACTGCTATGCTAGCAAGGAGCCTTTCCTGCTCCCAGGCAGGTTGGGCAGGAGTGCGTGTGAGGGATTCATACTGTCACTGGCTTTCCTTTTAATACAGGAAAGCAGAGTCAGCCAAGTTGTATTGGAGGATCAGGCTGAGCAAAGTGTCTCCAAGGCTCAGCAAGACGCTAAGGAGAATCTCCTGCATGCTGGTGCCAAGGCAGAGATGCAGCTTTACTCTGTGGCCCGGGGCACAGGCTCATGGAGTTAGGCCTCAGTTTTCTCACCTGTAAAATGAGCAGGTTGGACTGAATGACTCCCAAGGGCTGCTTTCTGAGATGGCGAGTGGTAAATCACTGCAGTCTTCCCAGGGGAATGGCACTAGGCTGGGACCCCAGGAACCCAGGTCCAGAGTGGTGTGGGTCAGCCCAGCAGGTTGGAAACACTAATTTCCCACTGATCTTGCCATGTAGATTCACTGATCTGCCATCTGGAATATTCACATGGCACGGAAGACTCCAACATAAAGGCAGTCTGGACTGCCCACATGGTTCTCAAGCCAAGAGCTTGGCCTCCTGCCTTGGGGGTTATCTCTTACTGAGATTCTACTTGGGCCAGACTTACCTCAAAAATGTAGTCTTTCCCATCTTTGCCATGTACAGCTTTGACAGCACAGATGTCCAGGCCACCAAACATCTCAGAGCAGGTGTCCACCCACAGCTTGTACCTGGAGGTGATGGGAAGGTATCCTGAGGCTGGGGCATGCACTGAGGGCAAGCCTGCCTGCAGTCAGGCTCTCCTAGCTCCTCCCTCCTTCCCACCATCCCCCTGCCCCCAGGCCCTCCTATCAAGCACTTATCTACAGTACCCTCCCTCCTCTGCTCTCCAGACCCTACCCATCTTTGCAGCCCAGAGCAGGTCTTACTGCCCCTAGGAGGCCTTCCTGGGCTATTTCAGCCCATGCTAACCACTCCTTTCTTGGAGCTTCCATGGTATGTACAGTTGTTATCTCCATAAAGCACATGACCCAGTCCTGCCTCATCTTGTTACCTGGCTACTTGGGCCTTTGTGTTTTATCTGTCCTGTCTGCTTAGAGGCTCCCTTTAGGCTCCTTACTTACACCTCTTCATCTAAGTTACCTTCCCTCTACCTAGGCTGGGAACTGGACTCCTTCTCTCACTCACCTGTCTGACATGGCGATTTGCTCCAGCATTGCAGAGCCAGTGTTCGTCTTCCAGTTTCCTGAGATCGATGTCCTCCTGCAATGAGGTCCCACCAGGATAGGATATAGGCAGTGAGCCATATCAGCAAGAGGAGGGCATGAAACTTTACAGAATTTTAGCTCACTGTTGCTCTCTGCACCTGCTTCTCCCACAAATAGTCCAGGGGTCTGTCATGCTGAGCCTTGAGCCTGGCTGCCTCTGCCAAATCTGTAATTCTCTTCTCCTCTCTACAAGGGTCCTGCCCAGACAGCTCTGGCTCAAGAAGCCTGCCCTGATCTTTCAATCAGATGAGCTCTTGCTCTCCTTAGAAGCCCTGTGGGAATTTGCTTGTACCTTACTGTCAATCCTACATCTACTTTTTACTTTAGGTTTTGGAGCTAAGTCTTAAGCTAAGATTTGTCCACAAATCTGTAAACCACTGAGGGTATATATTGCTCTGTATTCCCCAAAACCTACCCACTCAGTATCTGCAATGACTTGATACATTCCAAGCTGGAATTTCCATCGATCCTGGGAACTCCTACAGGGTTCTTATGAATATCTTCCAATGTCTTCCTTATTGACTCACTCATTCATTTATTCAACAGTTAATTTCTGAGGGCCACTGCAGTATTAGCCATGTGATTCTGGGCAAGTCAGTTAACCTCTCTGGGCTCAAACTGCCTTATCTGATGGCTTGATGCCATCAGCCTCTTCTTCTCTGCTGTACCCACTGCACCTTCCATCTATGAGCATGTGTTACCAGTCAACCAGTCTTGGACCAAATAGGAGGTGTATGACCTGGTTTCTCATTCTGGATTTGCTCTTGACTGGCTGGGTGACTGGCTGGGCAAATCATCTCTCCGAGCCTGTCACATCTGTAAACACAGGGCTGTGAGGAAGACCAATTGATACAGGCTTAAATGAACTGCAAGACACCCCAAATGTATCTTTTTAATTATTAGTCTTCACCCAGACACAGTCAGGAGGAAGGGGATGGCCGAGGGCACAGAAAAGCCCTGCTCAGACTGTTGACAGAGCTCTGCAAGTGCTGTCCTCATCACTCAGCACTGTTTGGAGGGAGGGTGTGCTAGTTTCCAGGAGGGTTCTCCCCAGAAATCTGATTTCAGGCACAGAGAAACCCAGTTATGTGCTAGTTTTTCAGAGCCACGAGGCAGCCCAGCAAGTCAACTGACAGGGTAATGACATCCTCACGCGGGGCAGCGCTGACTGCTTTCCAAGGTGCCTTCCTTACCAAACCCTCATTTCAAGGCCCCTGCTGTGAGCAGGCTGGAATCCTCGCTTTACAGGCAAGGAGAGCACTGCTCAGGAAGCTTGGATGACTTGTCCAAGATTGCATGTCTACTCGAAGCAGATGAGATAAAAATCCAAGAATCATTGTTCCCTGGGTGCGAGGTGCTTTCCCCCACACCCCACTACCTAACGCACAAAGAAGCCTGAGTGGCTGGTAAAACCTGAGTAGCAACACAAATACAGAATCATACTAAAAATTACTCTACCTTCTAACAGTGATGGTTTACAAATGTGTCCCCGTGACCAGACTCCTCAAGGAGGGAGAGAGAGTCACTCAATTTCATGTCCCCAGCATAGAGCTATGATGCATAATGGAGTCTCACAAAGTTTGAATGTGTTCACTGATTCTCACTATTTTCAGTTTACATACTCAATTCAACGTGAGGCAAAATCCAGTTTACAATTATATTTGTCAGCACTAACTTTCTTTCCACAACATTTCCTTGATTCGTCGGGAATGCCATGCTGATACTCCTACTACCCTGATGCATATACAATGTGAAAGGCCTTCTTATCTATAGGCTCATTTATTTCATTAACAGCAGTAACATTAATAATTTTCATAATCTGAAAAGCCTTCGCTACAAAACGAGAAGTCTCAGTAGCAGAACTTTCCACTACAAATCTTGAATGACTTCCTGGCTGCCCACCGCCGTATCATACATTAGAAGGCCATGCATAGGTTAAAGCTTAAAATAAGAAGGGAAGGAATCGAATCCCATATAACTGGTTTCAAGCCAGTCCTATGACCACTATGACTTTGTCAACAAGCAAGATATTAGTAAAAACATTGCATAATTTTGTTGAAGTTAGTTTGTAGGCTAAGATCCTTTTTGAGTGAATAATGTTAATGGCCCTTACATTTGCATAGCACTTTAAAGTTGGCAAAGTTCCCTAACACCTCACACCCTTTTTAACAATGGGATGTAGGGACAGATCCATACAGGCTAGGTGACCTGGGGCATGTGGGAGCAGAGGGGACACTGAGAGGCCACTCAATGACAGCATGACTGCCTCTCTGGACTCAGAGGTCATGGACCTCCGCAGAGGGACCACATTATTGCCTCCTGTGATGGAGGCAGGAACAGCACCTTCTTTCTACCAAATATGGCTTTCTCAGGATCTCCAAGGTGATTGCTCAGGGAGACGGGAAAAATCCCAAACCTTATCTTGCTATTGCTAAGTCAGTCTCTTCTACTGAGAGCAGGGACATAGCCACAAGTTTGAGGAAGAGGTGTGGTGGAGAAAAGCTGAGAGGGCTTAAACATTCCTCCAAATAACTAATGATCCCTTGCAAATAAAAAAGTTAGGTAAATGTTATCTAAACCTTCTCTGGTCACCCACCCTTCAGCAATGTTTTGGAATTCTCTTTTCTTATGCTTCATTAAAAATTTTTTTGGAAACCCTAGATCTTGCTTTGTCATCTGAGCTGGAGCGCAATTGCATTGTCACAGCTGACTACAACCTCAAACTCCTGGGCTCAAGCAATCCTCCTGCCTCAACCTCCCAAGTAGCTAGGACTATAGCTGTGCACCCCCACACCCAGCTAATTTTTCTACTTTTTGTAGAGACAGAGTCTTGCTCTTGCTCAGGCTGGTCTCAAACTTCTGGCTCCATGCAATCCTCCCACCTTGACCTTCCAGGGGCTAAGATTACAGGTGTCAGCCACCAATCCTCACCTGGTATCATCTCCTTTTGAAGATCAAGACACTCTTACTCCACTGTTTTATGTTTATTTAAAATTAAAAAACAGGAAATCTGCTTTCTTGGGTGTCTGGAAAAAGTATATGTTTCTGCTTTCTTGTAGTGAGTTTTTATAATGGTTTTAAATTATTCTGTCTTACTTTGTGCATATTTTTAAAGCAATCCTAAATTCTTTTCTGGAAGCAGGAAGACTATAAATATAAAATTATACACTTTTTCAAATTAGGCCCCTTAACATTTTGAAATCAATATTAGGCCCCTCAACATTTTGAAATCAATAAATTTAAAAAATGAAACTGTACTAAAAAGCCTATTTTTTAAAAAAGGTAGGAATCTAGTGAATAAAGATTAAAAAATTCTATGTCCAGTTCTCTACAAAGGTTCTTCCCTGAATACTTACTGGGCACCTACTATGTGCCTGCTGCTATACAAGGTAGTGAAGCTGCAGGGACGAGTCCTCAGTTCTCACCCACAAGGATTTAGAGTCTGGAGGACGAGGGCAACACAAAACACACAGGCAGAAAGGCCTGGACTAGAGGTGTGTGCGGGCTGGTGTGGGAAAGGAACGCAGAGAGGGGGAGCCTACATAACTCCAGAGGTGCAGAGCATAGGTCCAGAAAAGAGAGATGAGGGAAGAAAAACAGAAACGGATGAGTAAGAAGGAAGGCTGCTCAACCTTGAAGGCTGCTAAAGTCTTGAGTGGCAAAGGTTAAATTCATATATTAATGTTCTCTCTTTGTAAAGAAAATACAACTTTTAAAAAAAATGTTGGGTATTAATATATCCAAAATTGGAATTGTAAACCATTTGCATTCTTATATATATAATGGAAGGTCAAGTAGTCTTGAAACTGTTTCTTTTACTACATTCTAGTGGAGGAAACCTTCAACTTCCCATTCGGGCAAACAGGCACAGTTACATGGAGAAGTCATCTACTTTCATAACCACTAGGCTTTTAATGCTCTGTAGCATTGTGAGGGCCAGACATTTACAGCAGGAGTTTCTCAACTTTTTCTGTGCTTTGGAAATCTGGTGAAGCCTATGGACTCCTTCCGTTGTATACAGCATGTAAGATGTGTAACTGTATAAAATAAAAGCACATAGCATCACAGAGGTGCTCAATTAGAGCCGTCAAACATATTAAATCTGTGATTAGTAAAATATGTATTTCTTTCTAAATAATAGTAGTGGCAGGTCTAATAACTACCATGATCTTTAAGTAGTGAGGAGACTAACTGGTATGTAGAGATAATTGTAGTGGGACACAAGAGTATCTGTGATTACCTTTATGACAAGTCCTATGTGCTGCTGCTGCAACTACTGTAGTCTGTTGTCTCTGTTCATAACTGAAGAGAAGGCTAAATTACTTAGGGAGTAGTGAAAATGAATATTGACATTATTTCTTATCTTAGTTTGTAGACCCCTTCCTCCAACTTAACCTGTGTTAAGAATTCCTGACTGAAGTGGGACCCTCTCTCTGACATCTGCCTCACGGGCCAGACAAGGTTAAACTGAGAACTGCCTGCTACCTGGAGGCTCAGCTTCCCCACTGTGGCTGAGGAGGAAGTGGAAGTATCTGCTGGGACCCCACCCCCTACTCACATGTAAGCCTTGTAGTTGTTGCCAATCTTCTGGACCCGGATGTCATACTTGGCGTCAACGAAAGGCTCTGCCGTGGCATAAGTCTGGGTGAGGGCCACTACGCTAGCAATGTCCTGGAAGTCGTAGTGGTTTTCCACTTTGACCTAATGTTAGAGCAAGGGAGAGAAGGAGAAAGGGAGACGTACACATACACACACTGAGAAGTCACAAAGGCCCTGAGCCTGCAAATCCATCGAGATGTTTCCAATCCAGATGCAAACCTGGGTGCCACATCTCCCCAGGAGGACTCATCTCCCTAGTTTCCCTTCCCAGGGCTCAGGGCCCACTTGCTGCAAAGGACCCAAAGGCGCATGCAGGTGGCCTGCCTCTGCTCGTTGAAAGAGATCTGGTTGGTACTAATCATGGCTTCAGAGGGGCCAAATCATCTTCTTCTTGGAAAGAATTTATCAGTAACAGTGGTGGAAGAAGAGTCCACAAATGGGCTCTCTCTGAAATATGTCCTTCTTGGTTCAACCCCAAAGCACAGCAGGCTCCTCTCTCTGCCTTACCTTGCCCATGCCAGAGTGAGCATGGCCAATCTTCACCACCACAGGGAACGTGGGCAGTGTCAGCTGAAAGCAGAGGAGAAAGGAATTGGTCAGTATGTGTCTGTCTCTCTATGGAATCCTACAAATATGTATCTTGGAACGCCCTTGGGAAAGTCTTTTAAAGAACTAGGACAATCTACTTGCTTTACAGATTAAAAAAAACTGAGGCCCCTAGAATGACAGTGACTTTCCCAAGGTCACACAGGATAGGAGTAGCAGAGCTACAAGAACCCTGTTCTCCTATTAGGTACCCTCAGATCTTTAAACTTCACTGTTTCAACCTTCTCTATATTAGACAAACCCTGGGCATGACTGGTCCTCAGCCAAAGAGAATTAAAAAAAAAATGTATCTCTGGAAGGATGAATTTTACTGTATGTAAATTGTATCTTAATAAATCCAAATTTTTTCACATGCATCTTTGGAATCTTTATGTCCCTTTTGTCATGTACCTCTTAGTACTCACCCTCTTCAAAGCTCCAGCTTTCCTATAATGATTCTTCCCTGTTTACTCAACACCCCAAACTCACCACCAAGCGGCTTTGTATGCTAAGGCCTATTTCTGCCCCATTCTTGTATCTGAGCTGTTACAAGAATTCAATATGTTTATCATTGGAAAGAGATCCTTTAAGAGAGGTACCTTGAGGCAGCCATATTTTAACAGAGGAACAATAAAAACTTAAAAGAAGAATTATCCTCCAAGGGCAGGATTTCAAGCTGTTACAAAATGGTGACGGAAGAAGTAATACTGTGGAGTGAAGTAGAAGGAGAACCAGACTGGACAGCAGGGAACTCGTATTCTATTTTCTCTGCCACTAACTTTCTGCAAGTCACTCTACCTCGCTGAGGCTGGGCCTTCACATCTGTCGGAGGAAGAGATCGAACTGGATGCTTTTCAAGATCTCTTCAAATAACACATCAGACTCTATCTTGGTCTGGACATTATATGAAAAACCAGCCAGGCCACCAGCCTGGATGTTTCACCTTTCTTAGTCAGACTCAGCTCTCTTTCAATTTCCTTCTTTTCAAACATCACTACCACCACCAAAATGAAAGGTGTCCTTTGAAGGAAATAATGTTGACCCTGATGAAAAGTCAGACTCCCTTGGGAGTCTTGGTATGACCAGATACTGGGAGTGTCTGGCTGAGGATTTCAGCATTTTTGGCTTAGGCCAGTCAAGGCTAGGGGGAAGAGCTTCAAAGGGCTTTAGAAGTCATGCAGTTCAACCCCATTTTATGAAGAAGAAACTGAGGCCCTGAGAGGCAAAGGTCACGAAGCTACCTACTGACAGTCAGAACCAGAACACAGTGTCCTGCTTTTCAGTTCAGCATGGGGTGGAAACATCCCACAGCAATAATCCCAAGGAGATTTGGGATCTGGATACCATGCTCTGTCAAACAGTAGACAAAGCTATGGTCGCCGTGCAGTGACCTCACATGCCTCGCTTCTTTGTTTTCTAAGGTACCCCACCTTCTATAACATGGCATAGTCTAGTAAGCAGAGGCACGGATTAAGAATCAGTGTAGCCTAGAGCCTGGAGAAGGCTTTGAGGTCCAAGGTTTGCCTTAAGGGATGGGACACCCTGTGTTTGGAGTCCCCACCAAGAGCACTGCCCCCAGCTATCTGCAGAGTCCAGCTGGGTGTGGGAAAGGGTTTCTAAAGCACTGGCTGCTTCTCTGACATCTCTCCCCACCCCCCAGCGACAGAGCAGAGCCAAGACCCCCCCCAACTTTCTCTGTCCTATTCCATTACTGTTTGCTGTTGCTTTGGAGCCTCATAAATAGGGCATTGAAAACACTTCCTGCAGCTGAAAGAAGCTCTGAGTAGCTTGTCTCATTCCTAGTGTGCTGCTCGGCAAGGGGTCCGTCCTTCTCTGTCACTGTCTCTCTTGCCTGTTGTAATTCTGTCTGCCTCTCTCCACTCTGCCTCTCACTCTTTCTGTGTCTGCCTCTCCTTGCTCCTGTTGCTTCTGCCTAAATCGCAGTCCCTGGCGCGCTCGTCTCTGCCGCTCTGTCTTTCTCCCGACACCATCCCGCTCCCAGCGCCATCCCTCCGCTTCCAGACCGCTTAATTTTCTGGGCAGGGCTTAGAGGCCCGGGGACTCAGTCCTGGCTTCCCACTTCCTCTCGCTGAGTCTTGCGGTCTGGAGGGTCGGTCCTGCAGCCGGGTGGCCTCCTGCCAGGAGAGGGCGGAGCCCATGGGGCGGGATTGGCCCCAGGGCCACCTCATAAAGCCTGGGGCGAGGGGCGCACTCGCTCTGAAGGAATCCTGGAGGGGCTGTTTGGTCGCCAGACCCCACAGGCTCGGCTGGGGCTCTGCAGTGTCATGCCCGGGAGCCCCCGGACCGCGCCGAGCTGGGCGCTGTTGCTGCGGCTGCTGGCGCTGCTGCGGCCCCCGGGGCCAGGGGAGGCGTGCAGCTGCGCCCCCGCGCACCCCCAGCAGCACGTCTGCCGCTCGGCGCTTGGTGAGTCCGAGGTCCACCGCAGGGGGTGGTGGTGGGGGGCTGGCATCTGGCCAGCTGCAGAACAGGAGTCCTGAGGGAAAGGAAGGAGCTCAAATCCTGCTAGGGCTGATGGAGGGGCGGCGCCATAGCAACCTTGCAAGCGCAGAAAGTGACTGCTTTGTAAGGAAATAAAGATTGTATCTGGGAACTCCACAGAGAGTCCTCGCCTGCCATACCGCAACTACGGAGTGTCATTGAACAAGGTGTCATCTGAGCGATCTGGTGGTTATTCTGAGCTCCTGGATTGGGGGTGGGGGAGGGGCGGGGAGCGGGTTTGCATCATAACCACCCTGTCCGTCCAGGCCTGTAACTGATGTTGCCACCATCCCCTGACCCCAACACATACCTTTTACCATTTCTTTTCCCTCTGCCTGAAATGGCCTTACCCCATACCCTTAAATTCCTCGCAAACTCCCATTCGTCCTTCAAGGTCTAACACACCCTCTTCTCTGTAGGCTTCCTGACTCCTGGGTGCTAGCACAGCGTCTCTCCGTTTCTGCGCTCCTGGTGGGTTGTGCTGTTGCTCTTCATAAGTGTGCCTTGCACTAGACCAAGAGTTCTGTGGGATGGGATCATGTCTTAATCACATCCATGGGCCTAGGGCTAGTGCAAGGCCAGCCACAGAGGAAGAACTTCATACACAGTGTTTGATTAATGCCCAAATGACAAGAGATGGACTACCTGAGTGCAGGGTCAGAACATTTAAGAATTCAATACACATTTACTAATATGCACTCTGGCAGAGCGCTAAGGCCTTGAGCTCCAACATCAGCTGCCCTCAAGGGGCTCCTCCTCCCTCCTCTACCCTGACTCCCACCCTTGCCCCACTGCACCCAGGGCTGTGGAGAACCAGGGCTCTCCAAACTAAAGGTTCAAAGAGCAGAAACAGCATAGAGGTTGTAGGACCTAGCAGGCCAGAGGGGCTTGGAACTTGCAGCCACTGCGCAGGAGGAGTTTCCAGGTCTCCATTCTCACACACATTGCACTGCTCACACCTCAACCAAGAGTTCCCCTACAGAATTCTCCAGGGGCCCCAGATCATCCAGATCTCAGATGCATTGGTCGTCCCCCCCGCCCCCCCAGTCTGCTGCAGTTTCCTTCTTTTCTCTTCCTATGTAGTGATTCGGGCCAAAATCTCCAGTGAGAAGGTAGTTCCTGCCAGTGCAGATCCTGCTGACACTCAAAAAATGCTCCAGTATGGAGTCAAACAGATTAAGGTACATGGGAACAGGAGAGTGTGTTTACCCCCTTGGGCTGGTGGAGGGAATGGGGTCTGTGTCTGGGAGGGGTGGGGCTGGCAGATTTCAGGGGACCTGGCTGGGTGATCCTTGGGTCTGGATGCTAAAGTGGACCTGGATGGGGTCAAGGCCCACAGAATCCAAGGGACAGGGTAGGGCCTCACCATCCATCCAGTCCTATAGCTGCCTATGCATGGGGGCCACTGGAGGTAATCCCCCTCTCACTGGAATAAACCAAGGTTTAGACTTTGGTTTTTTAAAGATAGAAATAACCCAGTGGGGCCATCTGTGTGCACCAAATCCTGAACTAGACTTTTGCTTAAATTTTTAGGCTGAGAAATGAGAAGTTTTTGCTTACTATACAAAGTACACTCACTGACCCAATATTGCTTTTTTGTAATTGCCTTTCAGATGTTCAAAGGGTTTGAGAAAGTCAAGGATGTTCAGTATATCTATACACCTTTTGACTCTTCCCTCTGTGGTGTGAAACTAGAAGCCAACAGCCAGAAACAGTATCTCTTGACTGGTAAGTTAAAGACCAGTAACTGGCCTTAATAGAGTCTATCTTCAGGAAGGTAGTGAGAAAGGACCAGGGCCTTCCTTGGGCACCAGGCTGAGCCAGGTGGCACGTGCTTAGGCAGAAAAGAGAGCTGTGTGAGTGAGACAGCCTCTGAGTTAGCAGGAGCCTTGGTAACCTCCCTTTCAATGTAGAAGTCCTCATTACGGTGATGTTGGCCACTGTTTCACTATTTTAAGAAGAGGTTGCTCTCTCAGTCTAGGGCAGCTGGTTCCATTTTCAAACAGCTTAGACTGGTCTTAGATCTTTGGCATCTTGAGCCAAAATTTGCCCCTCTAAAACTGCTGCCTATGAGTTCAGCTCTGCCCTTTTCCACAGGAGCCTTGAGTCTGACACGGCTCTGTCACTGTGCTCTTGGGCCCAGGCAGGTCTCCTTCATACTGAATTGGTTGGGATAGAACAGTTAAAGAACTACATAAAAATATGACTCCATAAACGAATACAACACTAAATTATTTTGGAGTTCAGGGAAAGGAGGTATTCGGTGGTTGTAAAACAATCAGGGAAGCTTCATTGCATAAGTGGGCTCTACACTGGCCCTAACAGATGAAAAATATTTAGAAAGAAAGCAAGGAAAATAAAAAAGCCCAGCAGGTGGGGAGAACAGGTGAAGTAATTCCACTCTCTGTCCATCCATTCAGCAATGAATGTCCACCTACTCACTGCCAAGCTTGGGGCAAGAGACCGGAGATTCTGTAACAAGCGACAGTCCTCAAAGAGTTCACAGTCCAGACATGGCTCTTGATAAGGCTCAGGCACTGGAGGCCACAATGATGGGCTTCCCAGCTCCAAGGAGATGGAATCGCGCTGAGCTGGGGAGCTCCTGGCTGGGAGAGGCAGAGGCAGGGCATGCCACTGAGCCTTCCCATTCCCAGGACTGGCAGACCAGGCCTTGTCAAGCTCTTTTATCCTGTTATCCCACCTCCTTCCTAAGCACCTGCTCTCTGTGCACCTGGCCCTCTGCTGGGCACTGCCGTGGTGCATCAGGGGAAGGACGAGATGTACTCTCTGCCCTCAGGGAGGTCAAGTCTAGTCGAGGGTGGGGATAAATGACAAAACCCAAGTCTACTGAAAAATCATCTGTGGTGCCCGGGCCCTTTAGGGGAAGGCATAAGCTCTTCTGCCTGCTGTTGAAAGCCCTTTGTAACCAGAACACTGCTGCCCTCTCTAGCTTTGTCTTCTGCCATTTGTCAGTGACAGTTCCCAGCCTCTCACTCCCCCCGGAGCTAAACTAAACTACTTGCAGTGGCAGAAGGTATGCTGCTGGGCTGTGTCCCTGCCCTCCCCCCAGCTTGCTTGGCAAGTGAACCTCCACCTATCCCGTCAAGGCCCAGTGCAAGCACCTTTCCTCTGAGACACCTTCCTTGCCCCACATCCCCTCCATAGAAAGAGATAATTTGCTTTCCTTTGTTCTCATATTGCATTTTGTGTATAATCACACAGTAGTGTAATTTTTGCCTACTTCTGTCCACTCCGCTCATTTTTAAGCTCTTTAGGGGCAGAGATCCTGTCTTATGTATTTCTGCATTCCTGGAATTAAATCATAATAGTTACTCAGTGAGTAAATGATTGAGTGACCAAGATTCTAAACGAGGTGTAGGCTAGTGTGTTCAGGGATGGCTTTGAGGATGAGGTGGTACTAGAAAGGTCTTTGAAGGGTGAAAGGAGTTTCATAAGTGAGGAAGGGCCACTTTGCTATGGGGAAAGGAAAAGCCTCGCCAGATAAGTATCCACAGGGCTGGAGACTGGCCTTTGTACATACTGGGAAGGGTTGGGAAGGGGAAGGGTCCTATTATTTACAGAACATCTTCTGTGGGCCCACAATTGTGCTGGGAACTTTACAGATATTTTCTCATTTAATCCTGGCAACAACCTTATTATTCTGGTCTTCCAACTGAGAGGTTATGTGACCTTCCTAAGATCATATGTCAAGTAAGTGACGGAAAGGAAGGGGGCCCACCCAGAGTCTGACTCTGAAGCCCATGTTCTTCTCCCTGCACTGTGCTAAAGGAAACAACCTGCACCGGATCCCACAACTCTGCCTTGCACAGACATCATCTGTTAATCTCTTTGCTATAAAGATTACAGGGGTTTTTCTGGTCTCTTTGTTGAGCCCCGTGTCGCCATTAGAGAGGCTCAATTCTGGACCTGGGCCCCTGGAGCTCCAGAAGCAGACTCTTAGTGCTAGACTCTCCTCTCGCTCTCCTTGAAGGTCAGGTCCTCAGCGATGGAAAAGTCTTCATCCATCTGTGCAACTACATCGAGCCCTGGGAGGATCTGTCCTTGTTGCAGAGGGAAAGTCTGAATCATCACTACCATCTGAACTGTGGCTGCCAAGTAAGGGAATGCCCACTTCCCAGGTCTGGGGGGGATGGGGGAAGGGTCATGAGCCTTTGACCTCATGCTTTATGTCCTCCTTCATTCATGCTTGCATTATTCATTTACTATATGATAATCTGCCGTGGGTCAGGCACTGCATAGAGCTAGGGATGGGAAAGGAACTCAGTCCACAGGCCCTGATCTCAAAGTACTGACATTTTGGCTGAGAATGTGGCCATCATATAAGGCCAACTGAGATGACAGTATTACAGCCACCATTTAAGGAGAATCTATACTTTGCAAGACCCTGTAATAGTCAGTTTATTTTGAATATTTAATTTAGTCTCCATAACAAATTCATGAATAATTGAGGCTTCCATTGTAAGGTGAAGAAATGAAAGCTCTAGGAAGTGAAGTGACTTGCCCAAGGTCAGTAGTAGAGTAAGGACCCTCAGAGCTGTCTGACTCCAGAGATGCCGTTAGAGAGGCAGTACTGCACGTGAGGGCACGGGGGAGGGGAATTCAGGGGAGAGGCTGGGGGCTAGGAAAGGTTTCATAAGACGGGGGCATGAGATGGGCTGTAAGAATATGTAGGACTCTGAACGGCAGCAATGGAAAAAGGACACCCTACTCATTTTGATGTTGTGTGGCCATGACTGTAGATCACCACCTGCTATGCTGTGCCCTGTACCATCTCGGCCCCCAACGAGTGCCTCTGGACAGACTGGCTGTTGGAACAAAAGCTCTATGGGTACCAGGCCCAGCATTATGTCTGCATGAAGCATGTTGATGGCACCTGCAGCTGGTACCGCGGGCACCGGCCCCTGAGGAAGGAGTTTGTTGACATCATCCAACCCTAGTAAGGACCAGTGACCACCACATCCCTTCAAGAGTCCTGGAGGTCAAGCCAGTTCTCCTTCCCTGCAGAGCTCTGGCCATCACCACCTGCCCCACTGCTGCCAGCCAATGTGAAGTGCTGAGTGCACAGTCTGGCCAGGGGCAGGCAGGGCTGGGGTACATTACAGCTTATGTCCAAGACCCCAGCCCACAATCTGTCAAGGGCTAGGGAAGGCAACATGAATTTTCTATCTTTCTATCTATTTTCTATCTTTTCCTTCAACCCATCTCCTCTGCTTCCCAAACCCCATTAGTGTAGCCTTGTACATGTTACTGAAGGTGTTTATTCTGGCTTAGTTTGTTTTCCAAAGCCAGGACTATTCACTTTTATCCCCAGGAAAATATGTTTTTCTTTTGCCTTAACTGATCTGATAGGGGCGAAATGGTGAATGTTATGTATATGAGATGGTATATCCTTGAGATGTATAATACCAGAAGATGGGTTGACAGTGTCACAAACAGGCTGATTGGCAGGAATGAAAAGACAACATACTATGGCTCGACTCCCCCTCCTGTCTCAACTCATCCTAATCCTCTGGCACACTTTCCTCCATTTGGGGGAGTGTCCTGGGGGACTGGGATGTTCAGTGTGAGAGCTAGAATGGTCTAACCTCCCTCCCCATGCTGTAATCCCTCTACCATGGCTGGTAGAGGGGCCTGCCCAGTTAGCACACCTCTTGGGACGAGAATACACTACTGTCTAAGAATAGGTACTGTCTCTCCAGGTTAACTATCCCTAATGCCCTCAACTGATACCCATTGGGCTTCTCTTCTGCCTCTTTTAGATTCTAATGTAATCTAAAATTAATTCCTACTGTAGAACTTATTTTTTAAGCCAAAAAAAGCCTTTCTCTTGTAGAGCTGAAGTCCCCCTTCATCAGCTTTTGACACCTCAGAGCAGCAGTCCTCTCTTAAGGGCAAATTTCAGGATAAAGAACAGAAGAGAAATAACACAAGGACCCCTGGGGTAGAAGGATGGTAGATGGGGAATGTACTTTGCAATTATTGCAATTTTTTCAGTGGTCAGCCCTACTAGACGTTACAGCAGGAAACAGCCCCTGCACCCTTCAGCTCAGTCCCCTCACCGTGTCTTGGGCTCCCTGAGATCTCCAACAGGAGCTCTAGACTTCCCCAGCCTCTGCCAGGCTTCCTGGCTTGTCATGAAAGGGCAGGTCCTGATATTGGCCTCTAGGATGATTAGGGACAAGGGTTTAAAATTAGAGCCTCTCCCCAGGGCAGCTCTGGCCAAGATGACAGAGAAAGTTCTTTTCAAGGCCCACAGCTGTTCTTCTGCATGTGGTCTGCTGGTAAGCAGGGCCATACACCACGTGTAAGAAGAAGCCTCTTGATTCTGAGAAATGGTGCAAATAGAGATCCCTTTTAGCAAACGGAGTGGGTAAGGGCACAAATATCATCTCTGTTCCAGGTCGCATTGAGTCTGCATAGGTGAGTTAAGCAGGATCACCCACTGATAACACCAGCCTGGGGCAGAGGGTGTAGGGACAGGGAGGAAGAAGGCAACTTGAGCTCTAGGTTGTCAAGGAGGAAAAACATTAGGAACAGCCTCCTTAACAACCAACCATCTCATCTCTCTGCTCCTTTTGACATCCTACGATGGTTCAGAGAAGGCATAGTATTAACTCAGTCTCATCATGATCTTCAGGAAGCCAAGGGAGCAGCATCTTACATCTGAGGAATGCGTCACTTCACACCGTCCCAGAAGTGTATTACTTAGTCTCACTTAAACGTTGTACATACCATATTAGATGTCCTGATCGGGGATAATTATGCCCACTTGATTGTCCTATTGGAACTGCACACAGTAACGAAATGTAGCTTGTCCAATGACACATGGCAGAGCTAGGGCTGGAACCCAAAGCAGTGGGATCTTCTTGTTGGTTTGTTTGGGAGGTCTGTTACTCTCCCAGCTTGATTAAACTCCCCAAGCTTGATGAAACTTCCCTTGTTTCTGCTCTTCCCTATTCTGTCTCCAGAATTTGACAAGATGCCGTCAGCTAAAATCCAGCCATTCCAACTCCACAAAGCAGCTCTACAGTCCCACCCCAGTAGAGTCTTTGGGGGTGAGATTCTGAGCCCTCATCAGGGTCCTACAGTCACTGTGTGGCTAAGAGCAGAATGAAAACAGCTGAGAGACTAACGTGTCCACTCAGCCACCTACCATCTCTTTGTGGTTGGGGTAGTATGTCTGCTCAATGAGTGGGAACTTTTCTCCTCCCAGAGTCTTGTAGATGGCCACCAGCTGGGCAAACTGCAAAAGAAAAGCAAAATTTTAGCTTATCTAAGACAACTTCTGAAACAGACAGAAAAAACAAATATTTATTGAGTATTTGCTCTGTGGAGGCCTTTGTGCTAGGCACAAAGAAGTGTACAATCCTGTCCTCAAGGAACAGATGCTTTACTTGGGGAAGGGAAAGAGTGAGCTAAAATTCATTGATTACCTTACTCAATGTTAATGGTATTTCATTCAATCATCATATCAAACTGATGATACTTTATCATCTTCATTTCACATATGGTGCCCAGAGAGGGTAGAAAATTTGCCTAAAGTCACAGAGCTGTAAAGAGGTAAAGCAGGGGTTAAAATTTGGGTTTCCAACTCTGAACATCTGCATATCTCCACAACAGCAAGCAATGGAGCTGGATAGGTAATGTGGGCCAAGTCTTGGAAGTTCAAATGCCAGGCAAAAGAACCATGGATTTTTTTTCCCTGTAAGCAGTACAAAGTCACCAGAGTCTTAGCAGGGGGACATATTATGAATGAAGCAGTTTTTTTGTTTGTTTGTTTGTTTTGAAGCTGTTCTTCAAGAAGATTTGGATGGTCATGATATGCAAGATAGGTTCAGTCTTTCTGGGACTTACTACTCATCCAAGAACGCTTCACCTGTAAGAAACTGGAGTAGCTCCATGGGGAAGAGGCAAAGTACACAGACTTCCAGTGTTAGGGTTGATAGTATTTTGGAGCACAGCTAGGCTCCCCACCCCACTGTTTTATAAATAAGAAACTGAGGCCCAGAGAGGTCACTTGCCCAAGGTCACACAGTAGTTGAGCCAGATTCATAGCCAGGTCCCTTCAGTCCCAATCCATAACTTTCCCTACTTCTTCAAGTAACCACCTTTCAGAGTCCGCTGAGACCGTGCCCTTCCCCCAGGAAGCACAGGACCTTCCTGCTCAGTACATTCACGCACATGCCCACACGCCCATCCCCAGTGCACTGGCAGCGGGAATGCAGCATCTTCTCTCTAGTGCTACGGGATTAGTTCATACTCCAAGCTGCCGACATCAGAAACTGCTAGAAGGGAAAGCTGTCAGGTCAAATCTATGTATCAGAGAAAAGAAAGCCACATCATATTCCAAAAGCTCAGGTCCCATTCTCTAGGAGGGATTTTGGCCCATGAGCCAGTGAGGGAGGAGGGAGTCAGGGCAGTAGAAGCTCAGAACTGGGTTATTAGAAAACTGGAGTCTTTTAGTGCTTGTTCTACCTCTTAATTTTCTAGCTGTCCTTAGGCAAATGATTACTCCTCTCCAGACCTCATTCTTTCCATATATAAAATGAGAGGGTTGAATTTGATTAGCTCCTTGAACTTTGTACCATAAAGAATATCCCTTTCTTACATTTCTTCCCAAACTCCACTATCAAACTGCCTTTAAGTGATCATCTGTTGTGGTCCTTTTGTGGGTACAAAAGGATATAATTTTGTTATTTTTGAAATGCTGGAAAACATTGGAATTCCCAGGTCGCCCCTTCTCGTGACACACAATTGGTGACTCTAGAGCTCTAAGGCTGCAAAGATGGTTCATGAGCTCTCAATCCCCTACGATTATGTTTGAAGAGGACATTAGAAGTCTCTAGACCAGCTGTTTCACTTGACAAATGGGGAGACTGAGGCTAGAGAAGCAAAGGCAGGTATAGGCTTCCATATCCCAGCTGGAGGGGCTGCACGGGGAGAGCCCTGGGGTTTTTTCCTTGCCCAGTGCTTTCTCCATGGTACCCTGCTGTCCTCACCCTTCTTCGGTTCTTCAGTTTGCTTCGACTGTCAAGACCAACCCCTCAGAGCTTTCCTGCCTTCTCTGATTCTCCCCACCACCTCATCTGACCTTTGAGTCCTGCCTGCCCACCTGGGCTTGGCTGGACTCCAGCTCTGCTTCTGGGTACCTGCCTGGGTTCCCAAGGCTCTCCAGCATCCCCGGGAGCTGATGCCAGCTCTGCCTAGTGACCTCTGTCCTGCTGCAGCCCACGCGCTGGCATGGCACCAAGGCATGCAGGGCCCTATCTTTCCAGCATGTGGGGGAGTGACACAGACACTCCACGGATGCCAGGAAGGCCTGCGGCAGACTCCCAGAGCCCTGGGACAGCCAACACTATAATGGCAGCCAGTTCTCAGGCTCTACTTGGATCTCAGGGAGCTCACCCCCCCTCTTCTACCCGATCTCCAGTGGTCCCTGTCTGCTCAAGGTACTGGACTTGGTGTCTAACACCTGCCTCCCTGGAAACTTAGATTAAGGCATAGGCACACAGTCACCAATTAAACAAATGTGATGTCTAATAAGGGGTATTTCCTCTACACACAGACGAATGAATAAATTTTGGAGGCTGTGGGTGCTGTTGTTAATTAATAGGAAGATATGTTCATTATAACCACTTATCCAATGAATCAGGAAAGATTTCTTGGAAGAAATGGGACTTCAAGATCAGTCTGAATAATGTGTTATCCCAATCCCTCCTGGAAATTAAATGCTTTAATTTCCTGGTGCACCTGTCACCAAAAAACCCTGAAAGACTGGCTGGAATTTCAGATAAATTTGCAGCAATAAAGGATGGTGCCATTCTTGCTTTCTCTGAAATGCTGCTTTCATTGACGAATCCATGTCTGCTTCCAAAATCCCAGTGGCCTGCCCTGACCAACTCCAGAGATAGTGGGTGTGCTCAGAGACATCCGTGGTCCAACGCAGAGCCTTCTCCAACTAAACAGGCCTCTCCCCACACCAAGAATAGCCGCAGCAAAGACATTTAGAAACATGAACCAAAGTCATCATCTCAGAGGGACCCGCCTGCCCCTCACAAGTCACCAGATTTGTCCACTCCCATTAACAGGCAGCGAACAGTATGTCAAATGTCATTATGTGGCAGCTGCTTAGTGAAACCGAAGGGAGGACTTGGTGTTTGGCCAGGGAGACCTGCTGTTCTCCTGCAATGCCAAAGGCAACGTTCTGGGATTGTGAATGGGTGAGAGTGTGACCCCTCACCAGGTCCCAGATCCCAGTTCCCAGGAGGGGCAAAGCCCTGGCACAGGCTTTCCCTGCTCCTCCCGTGCTTGGCCTCCGGCACATTTTAGAGAAAGTAAATGGGGAACTAATTTCGTTAAGAGATCCCAGATACTAGGGGACCATAACCAGGCTGACAAAGTGGTAGCAGGTACTACTATTATCCCCAGTTTGTAGAGAAAGAAACCTGGCCAGAGAGCGGTTTAGTCAGAGAAAAAGCCAATAGTAGTGGAATCACCCTGTGTGGCTACGATGGAGCCAAATTCAAATATCGGGGGTGAGTTCAGGCCTACGTGCAGCAGGAAGGCTGTGGGACTCAGGAGAAACTGGAGGTCCCCAGAAAAGACACTTGCTGAAGGTCTCACATGTGCTCTTCTGTGACTGGCAACACACTCAAATCACACAACGCCTGTAGCCTGTTTGTGCAGAACTCCAGGATTCCAGATGCCTCAGGCCACACAGAGGGGAAGGCCGAGTTAAAGGAGCTCAGGAAGTCAGCCCCCACCTCGACAATGGCAGCCCCAGCCCTGCTAGCCCCTTGCTCATTGCTCTTTCTCTCACACTGCAAGGTCTCCCTGGCTTCCAAGGGATCAAGAAAGCTGTTAGTTCAGGTGTGGAAAAAAAAGTCACGAACAGAGGGGATAGAGTTATTTGGTTAAAAAACAAAGCAACAAAATAAAAAATAAAAAAAAAACCACCCTCTTCAGCTCCCTGAGTGGTAGAGAGGCTTAAAGCTGAGAAACTTCATGATAAGCACGAATGCCAGGAACCTGGCAATTCAGTGTGTGTGATGGCTGAAATTTGATCTTTGCAAAACAAGATGGAAAGGATGTGATTAGAGGGCAGGTGTTTCCTTCCGAGAGGGCAGCCCGGGGCGGCAGAGGCGGGGAGGAGCTCTGTGCCCTCGGTGGTCGAGGGGCCAGATGCCCCAGCAGTGATCACAGGTCACTCTTTCTCCAAAGCCCACTTCCTCTCTGCCTAAAGCCTCTACTACCCTCCCAGATTTCCAGATTGGCCAAGGAAGGGACAACCATGCCAGCTTCTTCCTCACATTGTAGCCCAGCCTATGTGGGAGGCAATGGTATGTAGAGAAATCCTGGCTCTACAACTTTGGTAAGTTACTTAATCCTTTCTGGGTTTCATTTTTCTGTAAAAAGTGTTAATAATGATAATATCAATATATTCCTTGTAAGGCTATCGTGAGGAATGAATGAAATTACTGTGGAAAATCTCAGAAGTTGGCACCATATAGTAGTAGTAAATGGTTTTCTACTCCTTAGTTTCCTTCTTTAATTTTCATATCTCTACCATGAAGGTCGATATTTGATGATCTCCAAGGGTACTTCCAGCTCATATAAGTGTCTGATTCATATGTACGTGGATAACTCTCATTTTCAGCTTGTTGAAACACTTGGTGTGACTCTGTCACTAATACCTCTGTGAACTCGGTCCCTGCTGGGCTCAGGCCTTTCCAATAGTTGATCATTCTAAGAGGCAAGAAACCGGTTTTTGAAAAGCACTGCAGCCCATGACCAAGGGCAGAACCTACAGACCCATAAAGGCTTCTTTGCTGAATCTCTGTGTGACTTTATTGTGAGTGTAAGGTTCACTCTGCTGCCCTGGAGACCCAGCCCATGACACGCGGTGACAAGCGCTGGCAGCAGGCCCCACCCACGT